ATGTGTTTTCTTTTTTTGGGAGGGGAGGGGCAAGTTTGCAGTATTCTCCAATGATTTTTGAGAATAGAGCACAGACGTAAAGGAGGAAAGATTTCAGAGCAACAGTGCATCCTGCTGTAAAGAATGACCCTTGTTCAAGTCTTCGTTTTTGAAGTGCGTCCTGCACGGTCTGTTTTTGTATTACACTGTGCAATGTTCCGCCAGTATCTTTTCCTTTTCACCCAGTCCGACAGGAAAAATAATTTCCTTTGTAAAATCCTGCACAAAGATAACCTCCCAATAAAAGGTGAAGGGGTGTAACTATGAATTCATCAGGATGGATTTGGAAAACTGGCTCAACATAAAACAAAAATAAAGAAATAAAATGAAAAATTTGATTTTAAAAAGTACCTGATTAAATCACAGAAATGGTGAGTCAGTAGGAAAAACTTGGTGGAATAAATTACAACTGTGCAAGCTTCCCAACAGCGATAAAGACCTCTGACTGTAATAAGAAAGACAACACCACCTGGTGGCCGCTCACTGTAACACTTTAATTTACACTTCATCTGCTACATGTAAAACAAAAATGGCAAAAGTTGAGAAAAAACAGAAAAGCAAAACTAAAACAATTCACAATATATTATAGATCTTAAAAAAGAAAAACAAATTAATGATCATAAATCGAGTCTGCACTCAAATTAAGGCAGGAAGTCAATTATAGCCTGAAGTAACAGGAAACACATGGAGTATGTCTATATTTGAGACAGAATGGTTGAGTATGAGCTCATTTCAGGAGAAGACTACATTAAAAACACAAAAGAGAAGCACATTAGTCACCAATTAGACACACGGTGCCAAAACGGAGACAAATCTGATTGGCTGGCGATCCCATGTATGTACACTTGCAGGTAGGAGGCACAATCCCATTAAAAGGTCCAAAAACTTAAGTGATCTGTTTTTATCTTCAGTTTGTACAGTTCTCGGAAGCCTGAAAGAGAAAATAAATAAAAAGCTAGTTAGTCATCATCATGACTCATATTTTTACCAGTAAAAAGCATATGACATCTTTGCCGAACAAAAAATGAATGGGTGGGAAAAGTTGAGGAAAACACAAAGGCTACCTCAAAATTAATATCACACATTACCTTTGATGTGGTTTTTCAGTCTCTGCGATGAGAACCAAAGAGTTTTTTCTCTTTTTTTTTTTTTTTTAAATTTAGCACAGACAGAAAACTGTAAGCAAAATCAACAAAATTAACAGACCAACCAGAACTAAACCTCTCAGTCTGTACTGTCTGTCATTCTGACATACACTCACACCTTGCTAGAACCGGGATGGACCACCTTTTGCCTTCAGCACAGCAATAACTCTTCAAGGCACAGATAGAGATTTCAGTCCATACTAACATCATAGCATCACACAGTTGCTGTGGATTTGTCAGCTGCACATCTATGATGCACTACTGGGATCTGGTAAATCTGGGTGCCATCTGAATACAGTGAAATAACCAGTTTTATATTATTTGAGCTCTGTTAAATGAAGATAACACACTTTGGTCATTAAAGGGATGGATAAGCTCATTAACAATACTGTCCGGTTTCCACTAAGGGGCCCAAAGAGTGCCAAGAAAACATCCAACCCGATTACATCACCACCAGCATCCTGAATTCTTGATAAAAGGCAGGGCCTTTGCAAACCGTAGCCTCAGTTTCCTGTTCTTAGCTGACAATAATGCCACCCAGTGTGGTATTCTGCTGCTGTGGGCAATCTGCTTCAATGTTCAGCACATTGTATGTTCAAAGATGCTCTTCTACATACATTTGTTGCAACAAGTGGTTATTTTTAGTTGCTGTTGCCTTCCTATCAGCTCAAAGCAGTCTGGGGATTCATAGCAGAAAAATCCCAGTAGATCAGCAGTTTCTAAAATACTCAGACCAGCCTGTCTGGCAACAACAACTATCCTGTGCTCAAAGTCAACCAAATCACCTTTCTGATAATTGGTTTCAGATTCAGCAGGTTGTTTTGACCATCTCTACATGTCTGCCTAAATACATCAAGACGCTCACATGTGATGGGTTAAGATGCTTGCTGTATTGAGGACTTGAGCAGTTGTACCTAATAAAGTGGCCAGTAAGTGTACAGTAGGTCGCTTTTAGATCAATGTTCCTCCCAGCTTCATAGTCACAGTAGCCTCATGACACTGAAGGACACGTGTAGAATATTTATCATCAATACCAAAGATTTGTTTGCTTGTGGGCTTGAGCACTGACCACATTTGCGCTTCATGCTTTTAAGTTTTGTTCTCCAAGCAAGATGTGTGTGTGTGTGTGTATGATGTTGAGTACTGGATGGTAATTCTAAGAAAGCTGTATGTATCCTTTCATACACAGCTTGAGAGAAAAAGAGATCTCTCTTTGGAATTGGGGAATAGAGAAAATGCAACATACACAAGAAACGCCGAAAATTAGAAATGAGTGAATGGGACAAAATGCTTTTTGCATGTGCTTTGACTGTTTATGGCATTTTCTATTTGTTAAGGCAACTGCATGCAGTAAGACTTCTGTTGAACGATATGAATAAAAAAAATGTTACAAAGGCTCACTTATAGTAATTACTTTTTTTGCAAGTTGACTGTGCTGGTCTTTTAGACAGGAAGCCAACAGATTATAGATGCAGCAGAGCATATCTGAAAGGGGCCAATAGCAGCAGGTTAGGAGAGAACTTTATATAAAAACCCCCTCTGTGAATCTGGTATTTCATATCCTGATATGCATTAAATGGCCACAGTTTATTTTCTGGACGACATGTTAAGCCTCTTTCAATGAATAATCTTCGTTGGAAATCTGTGTTTAAGATTTAGTTATATTGATTCTTATATCTGTGCAAATCTAATAATATGCCCATAATGCTTTAAAATCAGGTGTTTTGCTTACTTTGTGTCAGCATATCTCAGTAAAACTGGTATGCAAAAAGAGGTTCTGTCACCCTACACCAGGCCGCATCTTTATAAACATTCTTAAATTTCAGATGTTATCTTCACACACACAGCTGCTGCAGGCAGTTCACCTTTCAGCTTGTCACACTGCCATTGCTGGTGTTCGCTTTAGTACTGACATCAATTAAACATCTGAATAAGTCCGGAAAGACTCGCATTGCACTGGCTTTTAAAACTAAAGTATTGTTTATATCCATGCTGCAGACTGTGTCACTATTTTCCTCCTCCAGCGCCATGAGAACTGATAAGCAAATCTGATAGGCAGGCTAACAATTCCAAAGAAATTAACTACTTGGACCGATTCCACAGACAAGTGACTGCCACTGTGAGACATACCACTGGTTTATTCACTGAAGTGGGGTTAGATGTGCTTTTAACAGTTTCATGCATATCCAATATTTAAGATATTATAAAAAAATGTGAAAATTGTTCAAGTTGCACAAAAAAAAACCTGTTAAATGTAAAGTATTTTCCTAAACACAGTTTCAAACATATTTAACATATTTCAAACAAATGGTCTCGCAGAAATCACCTCTTCCTCAATGTCAAAAAGAGATGATGTTTGACTTTTAGAGGAAATTTAAAAAAATAAAAATGCACCGAAGCCCATTAACGTTATAGGTAAGGATGGTAAAACGGTGGACAGGTACTTGAGTGTTCACTTGAATGAAGGACTGGTCTGGAGGATAAATAGTGATGCTATGTACAAGAAGGGTAAGAGCAGGCCGGACTTTCTAAGCTCAGATTCACTTAGCAGTGGGAGGCAGCATCAGTGCCAGAGATGCCAGCAGGATCAACAAACTAATCCACAAGTTTGGAACCATCATTGGCTGGAATCTGGAGTCATTTAAATCAGTGAGGGACAGGAGGTCACTGAACAAACTGCTTAACATTATAGACAACCCATCTAACTCACTCCATTCCAAACTACAGAGGGCTGCCTCTGCGTCCATAAAAGAAAGCATTCCTACTGTTCTCTATAAAACTCTACAAGTGAAAAAAGGTGAAACAAGATGGCGATATGAGATATTTCTGTATCAAACCTTCTTTCTGTGATTTCTCAGATTTATAGTGTACATGTTTTTTAATGCCACTTGCATTCATAAAGAATGCAAAATTAATGCAGACAGACCTGTGTTCAAATTTGAATCAAAATTAACCTAACCCCATGCATGTCTTTGGACTGTGGGGGGACCGTGAGTACCTGGAGACAATATGCAAAACGTCATACAGAAAGGACCCAGACTGGATTTATGTTGCACTACCTTTCCTAACAAGGAATCAAGTATAAGCCTGTGGTACCTTTAATAATGCTATAGATTATACCATTTTTATCCTTCTGCCGCTTTAACAATAATTTCCTTGTTGGCTCAGTAAATTATCTACATGTATATACAATGTGAGCAGATTAGCTTTTAGGGAGGCTGTGACTGTACCTTGAGGGACTCGGAAGCTTTCCGCAGTTCTTTGATGACTGCAGAAAGGGCTTCTGGGTTGATTCCCTGCTCACACAGTCTCACGCATATGGATAGAGACTCCATATCCAAGCCAGTGTTGAGCAACCTGGAGATCTCCAGCAACACTGTTGGGGGAGGAGGTAAAAACAGACACAGCTATGACACACATGCTAAAACATACTATATATATTTTAAGATGAATTTACAACTACTACACAAATACACAAAACACTACACGCAGAAATTACATATTTACCGTCCATCGTCTCCCGTACTGCGTTTAGGTTTGCGTTTGCTGCACTGGCCATAGTGATGGATGATTATAGCTAGCCAACGCTTGCTAGCAAGTGGCTGACAAATTAAGATTTAGAGACACAACGCAAAAAAATCAGCCAGATTTCAGGCGTTTCTTATACATTTAGATTGAATCAGCAAAAACCAGGCTAGCACAATCAGGTAAAGGTCAATATAAGATCCTAGCTAGCTGACAGCGCTCATTGCCGCTACTCGCGAAAGTGTGCTGAAGGAAGTGACGACACGAAATTCTTCATTGGTTACGCGAACTTCCTGCGATGATTCTATTGGCTAGCCTGCCTTGTGGGCGAAATTAAAAAACGTTTGAACTGGTCTCTCTGCTGATTGTTTGCTGCTGGCTTTTCAATGTATATTGCTGTTAGAGTTCCGACTCATTCACAATTGTAAGTACCAACAGTTGTAAGGCAAACGTTATCTAGTTCTTGCGTAAATGTATAAATAACTTAGGGGTGAAGTGAAATGTGTGAAGCTAAATCCTCTTTTTAAAAGCTGCTTCCTTCGAAGGTTTGTTAACACTATAGAAACAGAGGAAGTAATGTAGCCAACGTACCAGAGGTAGAACAAAACAAAACAAAAAATCTCCTTACAACGAAATAATTTTAGTGTCTTTTTGTGTTTGGATTGCCATTTATCGTCATCCCGACTTGGATATTTCTTGTCAGCTAAAATGGGGGACCATGCTGAGATCCAGATCACTCCAGAGACTCCAGGCAGGCCCTCCATTAGAAACCCCTTTGAAAGTCCAAACGACTATCACCATCTTCGCGAACCGCTGGTGCCAAGTCCATCTGTATTTAAGTCCCTACCTTGTAAAGCTGTAAGTTTTAAATTTACTTCATATCATCTACTCAACTCATTTACTCATGAGTGAATGTAGTCTCTTAATAATTTTAGACTTGTTTAATTTACCCAGACTCCACCTAAGTTTAACTGGTCTATTGATGAAATGGCCAGTCTCCTACCAGTGCACATAGACCCAGAGGAAATTCAGCGGCAATCTTTTTACCTCAGTCAGACAAGGTAAGTGATGTAATAAGGCTGGCACTGTGACAAATGTGAAATTCTTTGAGGAAGATCTGTATTGTTTTATTTTGTGATTTTAATACCTCCTCTATGTATTAAACCTGGGGAGGTTATTAAAGACTCTATCAAAGTGAGTGGTCTTTCTTTTAGGACGGATTCGGACATTGAGGAAAAACGTCAGAATGCTATTGAGCAGGTAACCAAATCTCATCTTTGCTAATGATACAGAATTTAGTGTACCCAAAATTTATAGATTCCCTTTGTACTGATGTCATTATCCTGTCTCCAATAAAGTTTTTCACCAAAGGAATAATTGTCCCTTCCCCCTGGGCGGCACCAGAGACCCGTAAAGTCCCTCAGATTTCTAAGAATAGTAAGTTATCTTATTGTTTATGTTACTTCTTAATTCTTGTAGGTTTTGTATTTGTATTTATTTTGTTTTTATCCATAGATTTCTGTTAAACTCTGGTTTTGTAAAAGCTTTTATTTTTAATGTTGAAGGTTCAATGTCTGCAATGATTGCAGTGGAGCCAGAAAAAAATTCAGGTCGGTTACTTTTTTTTTTTTTTAAACCTGTTTTGACTTTTTTTTCTTTTACCTACTTTTTTATATATATATAACTTTGTGTGTTTTGATCTACAGTTGGATGTCAGACAACCCTTACATTGCCTTTGGCTTTTGATTTGGAGAAAGTTCTAGGTAAACCTTGACTAAACACCAACAGGATCATAGTGAGAAAAAGAAAATCAAACAATCTGCTGTCAAGTCACTGTTTCTGTTTTTTGGGGGGGGGTTTTTCCTCACAGGGGAATATTACCGTTATGAAGAGGTGTGTGATCCAGTGCAGGAGAGTCTGAGCAGCTCCTCCTTGCGACGAAAACTATTCCTTGATGGCCAGAATAGTTATATTGGCTCAGACAGCTCGAGCCCTCCAAGTCCAGAGAGAGGCAATGCCGGTCAGGAAAAGCCATCTCCCAAGAGAGGAGACTGCATTGAAGGTTCTGAGGGAGAAGCTGTATCGGCTATCTTTTCCTCCCCTTCGGCCTGTGGTGTGTCAGCTCCGACGCCTTCTACAGTGAGTAGAGGAGTGTAGAGATTTCATATACACAACCGTTACCCAAACTATTTAATTTTAAGCATAAAATTCAAGAGAAAAAATGCATCCAGAGATCATATTTTGCTCAACGAATAATTTTAATAACAGGAAAATGAACATTTACGCTGTTAGCCTTCACCCAGGCTTACACTAAATAGTTGCTGTTGATTTGTTTTTTGTGTTTTTGCTGCCTTAAAGGATTGTGAGCCTACACAGGTTTTTATCTTCTTTGTTAAGCAGTTTACACGTAATGAAATGTGCTATATAAATAAAATTTCTATTGCAATTTTAGGGTCAGTTCTCTTCGAGTCCCATCCAGCACGGACGCTTCCGGGATTGTAGCCTTGGCAGCATTGACAGTCCTCTCTTCCGTGATAGGTCCTCTCCTGCTGGCCTCATCTCCCCCACAATTTCTCCTATTGTTGCACATGCAGAACGCACACCTGTTGGCTCAGGTACACAGTTGTAACTAAAACACTAGTTACACTTTGTAACTAAAACTTTAATATCCAAACAAATCAAAATTGGAGAAATATTGGCTAAGGCTACATCCACACTGACACGGTTTTGTATTTAAAATATATAAATATATATATATTTTTTTATTATGACAACAGTTTTCATCCAGCTAGTAGTTTTAAATCTTCCTCTATAATACATAATCCTTTGAGTATGGTGGTGATGCCTCCATGTGTTTAGTTGGTGATATTATAAAATGCAGAATAAGTTGCATTGCAGCAAGAAGAACACCTGTAATTTGGTCTTTACATTGAATTAACAACTGGTTATCGAGGCAGATGTGTCTTCGTTATCTTCTGAATGGGGTTGTGCTTCAGGAATGTTATGATCCAATAAAGAATATGTGACTGAGAAGACAAAATGTTGGTAAAAAGACGAGTAATTGTTACTGTGTTCTTTCTTTAGCTGAGAGGAACCAGCCGAGCTGTTTGACCCCACGTGGTGCCCCCCTGGACATAGTCGCTTCCTGCAGTGAGAGTCCATTTGTTGAGGGTTGCTCTCCCATTCGTAGCTGCTCCCCACACCAGCTCCATTGCCACAATGAACCCCAGCGCATTTCTCGACCCAGGCCCAGACCTAGAGGCCGCTGCTGGGCTTCCCCTCCCCTCATCTCACCGATCCTCAACCCTAAGCTCCCAGACAATGAGGTGGCTGAAGAACACCTCCCCTCTGCCACTCGCTCTTCTTTCCCCTCTATGGAATTAGATTCATCATCACCCCTGACACAAGACTCTCACCCCACCAACACTGAGAGGGTGGACCCAATGGAACCTGTGAAAATGGAAGAAGGCAAAGAGACAGAAATTGAACCGAGGCTCGAGTATGAGGAGGACGAAGGTGTGGGGCCTTCCGAGCAGCTGACCAGCTCTCGCATGGTTAATGCATCAGCAACAGAAAACTCTCACATGTTTGTGTCTCTCCTGGCAGAGGGAAGCAGCATACGCTACGATTCTAGCATGCAGGTTTGTAAAAAGAGCTTAACCCCAGCAAGGATAATTTCATATTGATGTTTTGGGTAACAGAATATTTCTGATTGACTGCTTTTTGCACGTGTTCAGGTGGACAGCGGTTATAACACTACCTCAGCAGTCAGTCTTATTGATGGCACCAACAAAGACTGTGACGGCAAAGAGTTCTTCTGCTCAAACATGGCAGAAGACGCCTTCCAAGTCACTCGACACACTAAAGTAAAGGTACTGATTTTACACACAATCACAAGAATGTGGATATGAGTTTGTGCCTTTTAGATCTAATTGTTCCTAAAACCATTAGTTATTATCAGCATTAAGTTTTATAATGCTTTTTAAAAAAGAAAATATTGCTTCTTTCATCAATTGTTTAGTAAAATTTAAGCAACTCTTCACTAAGAAAAACTTAAGATTAGACACTTGAAACAATGACCACATGTTAGTGTAACAGAAAACCCTGAAGTGTGCTCTAGTGTGTACATTGTATATCCTTACTTTCTTTTTCTTTCATTAAAGCTAAGTTTCTTCTCTTTCAGGTGTTTTTTCCTCACCACTGAGCCAACTGATAGATGGATTGACAGGGATTCTTCTTCTAGTGAAAGCATGTGCTTAATATGTTGCAATCAAATACAACAAGGTTTACACTATGTCTAAAGCATTTATGGTAAATATGTTTGGTTAGACTGAATTGTGTTAACTGTTAAATGAGGTATGAATACAACCATGGGGTTTCACAAGTTGCCTGACTGGAAGCAGTTTCTTTAATCACAGGTTATCAAAGGGAAGTCTAATCCACAGATAGGTGTACTTTTGAAACCCGCATAAAACTATCAAGTCTGCATTCAACTTGCACAACGATAACCTTCCTGAAAGCTGTATTGATCCTAGCACCATTTTTGTTGTTGTTTGGGGAGGTTTGTTTTCTTTTAATTTGGTGTTGGATATATGTTGACTTTCTGGCGACATCAGATCTGAGCTGTATTTATGATTTTTATAAAACTTTTTTTATCATGTTGTTTTGATACTGAGTTGTTTTATATCACAGTCTGATGCACTGAATAATGTCACTAATGAATTAAAAGCTGACTGAGCCATTTCTTCGCTCTGTTTCTAATAGTTAAATTCAGTTTCTGGATTATTATCACATTAAGTTGCGTTCGAGTTTGGTATTTTTGACTGGCTTCAGGACACGTTGTGTGCACAGGGTGTTTATTTGCTAATAATTTAAATCAACCCAAGGAATAAAAGTGAAACAAAACTGTAAACTTCTAATATTTAAATAAATAAATGGTGAAATCTTCCAATATTTTGGCTTATGACTCCATTCAAATCATGTTTGAAAATAATTCTGAGAAGTTTTGTACATCAGAAACAATTAAAAAATAATAATTTTAATGACTGTCATTAAAATGCCTTTAATATGTAAGACAGCTTACTCTTCCAACAAATGTTTTAAATCATATAAAAGAGCAAAATTTTACTCATTAGAAAAGAGATTTTTTTATTTTTTTATTTTTTTAAAGCAAAATATAACAACTGAACTTTATCATTACATCAAATAGTCCAAGCTCGAACATCATGTGGTTTAGGTGAAAACGGAGAGCTCCTTCCTGTGTCAGCGGTCCAATTTTTGTTTCTTGGCTGGTCTTTCGGTATCCGGGGCTGGGACACTCACACCAGGGATCTAAAATAAAACAAACTTTTATTTCTAGGGAAAAAATGAGCACATTTTCTTATCATGGTTGACTGAAATCTGTATCTTAATAGTATTCAATTTCTTCTGAATACTTTTAACTGTTAAAAGTTCAGTTTTGGTCTTCCTTACCACTGGTTCAATCAAAGCCATGCGGATCTTCTGGTGCTGAATATTGGAGTCATCTAGGCTGATGGTGACCTTCACCTTGTCGAATATGTGGAACTTGTGCTGTTCCACAGACAGAGTGGGACCCTACACGTGCAAAAAAACAAAAACCATGTTAAACCTTACTGACTTTCTATGCATAGCTGACTGCTTTTAAATTTAAAAAGAGAAAGGTCTTTATACCTCTTCCTCAAACACAATATTTGGGGAAACCTTGTCTTTTGAGTCAAAGAACACAGTTCCCTCCAAGCCAAACTTTGGGATGAGTACGATGATTGCGTTCTTCCTCACAAACAGAACAAATCCTTCTTCATTAAGTATTCCTCGGCTCTTGAAGAACAACTGCAGGAAAAAAAGGGGTTTTAATATGAAGCAAAGACAGCCAGTTCACACAGTTCAGATGCTGATATGCGTTTACCTGTGTGTGGAAGGCCACAGAAGCCCGCTGTGCATACTGAGACATTTTGTGTCTGTAGTTGAGGTTATTGCAGAGAGCTGACTGTTTATGCTTGTCCATTAAATCTGGGTAGGTGGTGTCTGCACCTATAGCCACTGCCAGCAGTCGGTGCACAATGATATCAGCGTACCTGAGCACAAGATAAAAACCATGAAACCAGATGACAAAAGAGTATATTAACAACTGATCCACAATCAATTGTGAACATATCTTTGTTAGAAAAGCCTGACGTACACACATTTTGCCAAGATGTGTAGAACATCTGTTTTCATACCTCCTGATAGGGGACGTGAAGTGTGTATAAATGGGCGAGGCGAGACCATAATGATGGAAATCGCTGTCCATGCCAGAACAAAAATAGACGGCTTGCATCATGCAGCGAGTGGCCAGGATGCGCAGCAGCGTGTTAAAGTATGGGAATCCATCCACTTTGGCTGCATCAAGCGAGTCAGCCAGTGCCTTTGCTGAATCTGTGTGGACCTCGACCTCCTGATGGGAGTTGGAAACAAAAATGTTGACACCTTAAAATATTTTTCCTATTAAAAACGTGACCATATTTACTAGTTTTTCTACTTAATGTACTGCTGTGATTCCCAACTAGAAGCAGAGACTTATGCAGTTGCTTTCCAATGTGAGAGAAACCCACAAAACTATTTAAAATTAAAAATGCTCTTAGTCAGGATCTTGAATTAAAGCTGCTTTACTGACACAATGTTCTTCTTTCATAGCAAGAACTCACACGACTGTTTTCCTTTGCTCACCTTAGACTTTGCAGCTTTGATTAGGATGTCATAGTTAGACGGAGGTGGTGCTGGGTGTTTCCTCAGCAGAGCGCACTCTGGGAATTCATCGTAAATCTTCTGAGCAACTGAAATATTGGCCAGCAACATGAACTCTTCAACCATTGAGTTTGTCTCCCTAATGAACAGGAGATGATTTTATTTACACTCATTAAAAACACAGCATGACTCATACGCTGAAAAATATGAAGACAAAAAGAGGCTCCTGCAGAGAAATGGATTCTGCAGAGTGCTCCTTTTCAAAGTTACCTACATGAGTTCTTTGGTCTGAAGATCAATGGGGTCGTGGGTTTCACTGTCCATGTGAAAACGGACCTCTAAAGAGGACAGTGTCAGTGCCCTAAATGATATCAAAATGAGATCCATGTGAATTACAACAAGTCTAAATATCCAGCTTTTTGCCTTTGTTTTTTTTACTATTCTTTCACTTTGGTCTTTACCCTTTCTCTATCCTCTGCCTCTTGAGGATTTTAGCTAGTTTGTTCAGACCCCGTAGGCTTTTTGTTATATCGTCATTCTTGTTGGTGTCATCAATCCTCATCTGGGCCTCAGCATAGGTCAAAGATGCCTGGACCAAAACAAAGAAAATCATCAATAATAGTAATAATAAACCTTATACAGAAAAAAATTCTTGCATAAAATCTAACACAAAATGGTAACATTAAAAAAAAGGTGCAAATTTGTGTGTGTTGGCACGATACCTTGGAGTTAATAACACTTTTTGTGAATCGAGTCTTTAGAATTTCAGCCTTGTGGTTTATTTCCCAGATACACGAAAAGGCGAGTCTGGTGAAAGCAAATAAAAGAACCTGAATTAGAGACAAACAGTCTAAGTACATTCATTTTATTCATTTAATGGGAAAAGGCTGTGTGTGTGTGTTTGTGTCACTACCTGTCCACATTGGACCGCAGAGAACAAAGATTGGAGCTGAGCAGTTCAGGAACCATGTCTATCCTCTGCGAGATATAAAATTAAACACACTGTTAAAAATCAAACATAATCAGATGATTTCAATAAAATACAAATAAGAAGAAATTTGCTCATTTGCTTCTACTATTAGAGCCATTTCTAAGTGAAAGGGCCCTAATAAGCTTGTTTTTACAGTTTCCTGCAGTGTTGAGGAAAACGCAGCACAGTGCAATGCAAGCATGAAGACTGGAGAGCAATCGCGCAATCAAACTTTGAAATCAGCACGGTATTACGTACATTCGGTGTGACACATATTTATGTGACCAATAAAAATAGACCAAAAATGCAGAGTGACAGGGAGCAGGAGCTACATTCGACTTGGTAAAAACAAAATCTGTGCACATGGAATGGATGAATGGAGGTCTGCAGGGATTTGGGCTGGATTTTATGGATGAAAAAGGTGAAGGAATATGGCATGTTCTGTGAGAAGTTCCAATTGCGCTACTAAATGTTATAAAATACTGACAAAACCAACCCAAGCCCCTTGAAAACAAACCAACCCTAAGATTTCTCCTGGACTGATAAAACTCTGCATCGCATTAGCTGACTTTTGTGACAAAACATTGAGATCGAAGAGGTTAAGGTGATACAGAGAAAGTATATTTCACTTCTACTTCCTCCCAAAGTAAAAGAGTTTAACTTCAGTCCTAAATTGTTTCACCTGACTAATTAATTCATAAGGCAGAAATTTAATTTGGACAAGAACACCTGTGTATTATGTGAAAATATCATTAATATCAGCCTGGCTCACCTGCTTTTCTATTGTGTATCAGCAGAAGCTGATATCAATTTAAATTCTTAAGCCATTCACGAAAACCTCTAAATGTCAACAAAGCCATTGGCTGTGTCATTTGATGATTTTAAACTACTTTGAGTTGAGCCCACTTTTTTTTCTAAGATAAAATTCAAGACTTTGTTTTAAGTTTACAGCACTATGTGAGTGTTCTCTTTTTCTGTAAACACTTAACCTTTCGCACATAGGATAGTACATGTGAAGACGCCCCTGCAAAAAATGATGTAGTATAGACAGAGCTGTCATGCTGGCCAGTTCAACACAAATTTTGAGCCGTTTGCTTAAAATAATTGTCAGCAGAGTGCTTCCTTTTTCTCTTATGTGAAAAGGCCCTTACACTGTGGTACTGCTGTTGATATCGTGGTTTAAAACGCATCAATGAAGGATGCGAACATGCGAGGTGGATTTTCTTACTTTGCCACACAGGTACACTGTGGTGCCACGGTTGGCTGCCTCTTTGTCTAGAGCGTTGCCAGGTCTGATGAAGTGGCTGACATCAGCAATGTGGACGCCCACCTGTTGCAAACGAACATGGATAGTACATCAAAAGACTCACATGTACAGTTTTACAGACACAAGTACTTTTACTAATAGTGTATTTGTACCTCGAGGTTTCCATTTTCCAGCTCTCTACAGTGCAGAGCATCGTCTATATCTGTGCATCCTGGAGGGTCCACACTGCAAACTGTCAGAGGCCTCAGGTCCTCCCTTTTCATCATGTCCTGCACCACATACATTTACATTCACTTATACACAATTGTATATGTGCATGCTGTCAAATTATAGGTTGATGGACCAACTGATGACTTAAACAATAATATACCTGTGCTCCATTTATCTTAAGGAAAAAAATGTTACCTCTGGTGTGATGGCCCACGGCATCTTAGGGAGGAAACTGAGTACTGCCTGGGAGAAAGCCTGATGAGGGACATCATGCTCCAGTAGCAGCACCTCCTCTTCTGTGTCCTTCTCCCCCGCACCTCCCAAACTGCGTACAAAATGACCCTAAATAACAAAAATAAAAATAATAAAATAGAATGTTTCCATGGACAAATTGGTATTCCTTGAATTTTATATTTTCCTGTTTTCCTGTTGTGCTAATTTTTTATATTAAACTTAACATAGAAATGGTAAGTAGATATGCAGGTTCCAATTATTTGACAGTCTGAAGAGATTCCAACTCACATTTGGATATCTGGAGTCTTTGGGCCAGCCATCAATGGCCACCATGATCCTCTGGCCTGACAGTGTGGATGCCTGCCGCGTTTCAATGCGGATGCGTGGGATACGGCGCTCTGCTGGGGTGAAAAGATGCCGAGTGGACTGAAAGAACAGGAAAAGAATAGGGATTGTCAGTGCTGACAATAAGAGGAAGCACAAAACTATCTGTAACTATTAAGTTGTATTCATTTACGTCAAAGACGCATATCAATTTTGAGGAATGTTCCATATATTATTGAGCAGCTTTAACGTACCTCTTTGATTTGGGAAACATTCAGCATGCCACAGAATGGCCTCCAGTTCCTTTTTATGATCCCCACCACCTTGCCAGTGGGCTTCCTCGCTGCCTCGGCTGCAGCTGTTCTCAACTGCTCAAACAACAAGGAGATTATTAATAACACTCTAAGACACCTTAATGCATTCAAACATCTACACCAATACTTATTTTAAATTATATTCCAACTAAATTATAAGAAATAAAAAAAGTAAACAACTCAACTATACGCAAATATACAGATTTATCTAATACCATCTTCTTCCATAAAACTTACTTTCCCCTCCTCTTCTTCAGCATCCTCATCATCCTTTGCGGTGCCTTCATCCTGAAGGACAACTGAAGACGGTGCCACCCACTCACTTCGCGGCAAAAGCTGCACAGCAACCACATCCTGATGCACTGCTCTGTTGAGGTTCTGAAGACCCTGGATGAGAACCTGTGAACAAACAAAAGGACGGTAGAGAGCTTTCAGCATGCTTTCACTTTTTTGAAAATTAGATTATTTGCACAGAAAATGACAAACTTAGACTGCACGACATGATCAACAGAACTATATATTCACAGACAGATGTACATGCACACAAACACACACACACACCTCTGTGCTGTCTTCTCCCTCTCCCTGGACAAACACAGTTGCCTCCAAATAGTTGTCTCTGCTGGCCCTAAAGGTGCCTTGGAGGAAGGAGCCACTTTTAATTCCTGTTTGGATTCTGGATAGGGGAAGGTGCTCTGGAAATAACACTTTACTGCTAGTAATTTCATTCTGATGGAGGAGAGACAAAGAATACCAAAAAAAGAGGTTAGGTTAAAAAGAAAATGAGATATGTAAACAGGAGAAACAGATTCAAGTTCAGGTACAGACACCTGACTTTTGTATGTAACAATTTTAGCTTACCTTGTCATCACTGGACAAGGCCAGGCGATCCACAAGCTCAGGGTTTGCTATCAGACTCTTGACATATTCTTCACCTATAAAAAATTTAAAAAGTATTCTTATTACAAACTGTTAAGATGATGTAATTAAAATTAGATTAAATTTAAAAGAACATAGTTAGAAGGTCTTTTCTTGCTGAAAATGTGATACATTACATTTGTACACCAGCAGGCCGTTGTCCTGTGCTTTCTGCTTGTTTCCTTGATCATTGGTGAGGAGGACCACCTTGAGACCATCTGTGTCAGACTCAAATGTCTTCAGGTGCTGGCTGTACCATTTGACTGCTACACGAATTGCCCGGTCATTTCGGTCATTGGCACTCTCCCCTGGTTCACGTTCAATGAATGTATCTCTGGAAGAGCAGGAATTATAAGGATGGATAAAATAAGGTATCAAGCTTCAAAGTAAAATATAGTTTCATGCCTTTTTAAAGTGATCTGATACCATGGAGAAGAAAAAGATCTTTCTACTTATTACTTTTGTGTGTGTTTATTTTTGACAATACTGTGAAATTTGGATGTCATTGTGATGTTAAAAATGCCAACAGGGTTTCTCTACCTGTGGTGTTCATTGGTAAAAGTGTAGAAGCGTTTTTCTTTCTCGTGAATAACGTCCTTCAGGCGTTTGTAGACGGGTGCACTGCGGTGGCGCACCTCCTGCAGTACAGTTTGAAGGATAATCACATTGCAAATCACAGGATCTTCCAGTATATCGATCTGCAGGACAAAATGTACACAAAGTGTTAGGGAATCAGGTGCAATGCTTAAAAGGAATCTCTTTCACCTAAATTGATGTCAGATATCTGTTCCAACTGGTTAATAAGAACTGGCCAAAAAACACTTTCTGAATATGGTCAGTCTTTTTTCTTGAATAATAGGCAAACAGTCACTACTGATCACTACTGAAAGTCAGTAAAAACAAAAACAAAAAAAACCAAACTTTTATTATATTTGTATTGAATCTGTAATTGTTACTATATCTGCTGATCTCTCTGTTAGGACACTTTTGAAAAAGATATATAGGTGTGTAAAAAGGAAAATATTGACATTGGCCAGAAAAAGTGTTATTTGTCAATAACATAAGTTTAATGGCCCCAGTTTGTGCTTTTTGTGTCTTCTTCTTCTTCTTCTTGTGACTACTCCCTTTAGGGGCCCCCAAAGCAGATCATCTTACCCTATCCTAAAACTGTCTGTTACATCCTTTGCAAGTCTTCCTTAATTCAATCCATGAAACTTCTCTGGCATATTCTCTTTTGTTGCTGCCTAGCAACTCGGTAGCCTCAGCGTCGCCTCTCTAACTTTGTATGCAAACTGCTTAACCTGAACTGTCCTACTGATGTACTCATTTATAATCCTGTCCATTCTGGTCACTCGCATCTTCTACTATCTACTACCTCGAGCACAGCCACGATTCGTGCTTCTTGTATAGTATACTGTTGTATAGTATACTGTGCTTTTAAGGGCATCATCACAGTACTTGAGTCACAAACTTGTACTATGTGCCTAGGGAAGATAAGTCTAACCTTACACGTTTAGAATACCATATTCAATTGTTTGAAGAAATTTGATGTCACTTTTTACTACCTGATGAAGCACCACATTGGTGTCAGGGACCAGATAATGTGGATAGGAGCAGAGACTGCTCTCCATACACGCGTCTTTCTGCAGCACCGTGGACTCCTGTTTGCATTCAGTGCAAACTTCACTCCCGCACCAAATATCATCCCTCAGATAATGCTCACGCACTACCTTCATCACCCCACCCGACCGGGTCTTCTTAACGAAGGTTTTAGACTTCAACATAATGACGATCAAAAACCAAAAACAGATAAAATTCAGATGTTTTCTGCTACCAACTGATGGTAAGCCTTCAGCTCCCCATGTGTAAACTACCTCTTTGGCCCGACAAAACTTTCCAAAGGTTTTGAGAAAAACGCTGCGTCTAACTTTACGCGCTTTTGATCATTTATATTCCCATTTATAATCTTCTGCATTTAGAAATCATGTCGAATAAAAAGCATGTTATGTCGAAAAACACAAAAGTATTTTTCAGCATTGTGTAAAATATTATACATGTTTGAAGTTAGTTTTGGCTGGCCATCTAATTGTTTGTTGAAAACAAATTCTTAGAGGAAGCAGTTGAATTATTTGTCGCTGTCATTATTATAGCGACCCCCGTGTTAGGAGGGGGTACTGCACGACGGTGTATTGTTATCACGTACAGAGAACTATGTGGTGATTGCACTTCACGGTTATTACTACAGAGGGCGCTGTAGCTAAACCCACATAGAAGTCGAGCCGGTGGCGGCTAGCAGGCAGATCAGAGCGGGACCCTTGAAAACAAAAACAATTCTGTGGCTTCCCTTTTTGAGTCCGAGGTGTCACTGCAATTCAACATGAAGTTCATGTCCTCTTTGTTTAACGCTGGTTGCCAGTGTTTAGCGGTTTAGCCAGAGAGGTACCGAGGAGTCCGAATCAGGATTCAAAACGATACAAAATGCCTCCGAAGAAGCAGCATCTCAAGCCGACTGCAGCCAACGTCTCCAGCTCTTTGGACCTAGAGTCTGAGGACATCAGCTTGGAGACTACCGTGCCCACCACCGAGGATGTCTCCTCGTCCGACGAGCAGCGGAACGGCTCCCAGAAGGTGACCCGTCAGCTGATCGAGAGGAAGGAGCTGCTGCACAACATCCAGCTGCTTAAAATCGAGCTATCTCAGAAGAATCTCATCATAGACAACATGAAGGCCGATCATATGTCAAAGGTAGACTTGGGGTGGGAAATGGGGACAGTGTTTCTGTAGATATCTGGGTGTAACTTTTCCCCTGGTTCGGAGAAAACCGACCTTGTACTGCAGCATCATTGTTGCAGTAATAGTTTTGTGATTGAATTCAAGCGTGTGTTTCAG